TATCTCTCCTCCTCTCTCTCCTCCTCTCTCTCTCTCTCCCTTTCTCTCTATTGTGTTGTGCGTTTGTTTGATGAGCAATATTGCAGATTATTTGGATTTTCAATACTTATTGCTGCTGTATTAAATTTATTCCTAGCATTAGCATTGAGTGCACATCCTCACACTGATTTCATTGTCCTTGTCATACAAATATGTCAAGGCCTTTCATTGGTAAATTTTAATGTTATTTTAAACAATTTGATGAGATTGTTATATTATGTGCTTATATTAACGGATGTTTACTTGTAGAACTCATAAAATATTATAATAAGTGATTTAGATTCAGTGTTATTCCTCTCGGGTTTAAAGGTCAAAAATTCTAGTGGCGAAAGTTAAGAATCTGAAATTCGTGAATCTTATCGATTTATGCAGATCGAAACTGGGAATGAATAAATAGAGGGACAGGCTGTTTATTTGGCGACACTAAATGTTGTACTAATAATAAGTATAAGCCTGAACCATATTCAGGGTGATAAAAGAAGAGAATTTCATTTTACCCAAGAAAAAAAATACTTGTATTTCAAGGGAGTAAGTTATCCAGCAATGCATGGTGTTTGGCGGCATTGGGCACCACCAATGGAGCGCTCCAAACTTGCTACAACCACATTTACAGGTGGATATCTGGGAGTAATGATTGGTCTACCGATTTCTGCTTATCTTGTTTCGTATATCGATTGGTATGCGCCTTTCTATTTTTTCGGTAAGCTTACTCAAAATTTGTTTCAAATCAATTTGATTAAACCTTAAGTAAAAGGTAAAGTGATTGTTACTGACTATATTTGAATTTATAGGAGTTGCGGGGATATTATGGTTCCTAATCTGGTTCGCTGTTAGTGCACCAACACCAGAAAACAGTAAATCGATTTCGGATGACGAGAAACGATTTATTATTGAACAAGTTGGACAAGTCACATCTTCACCAGCAACGGTATCATGAGAAACTGAGTTTTCCTGAAAAATATCATAGCCTAAAAGTTTTTTTTATCAATTCTACAAACATTACATTTTTCTCCGTAAATAATATTTCCATTTATATGTAATCTACGTTCCATACCAATGAAAATTGGAAGTTTTAGCTAACAACGATCCCGTGGAAGGAGATTCTGTTATCGCCACCGGTATGGGCAATTGTTATCAGTAATTTCTGTCGTTCCTGGACTTTCTTCCTACTGCTCGGCAATCAATTAACATACATGAAAGATTTGCTGCACCTTGAAATACAAAGCGTAAATCTCCTTCTTTTCTTCCGCTGAACAACCATAGCACTTCACGAAATTTTTAGAAAATTCCAGTCAAAATATCATTGATTACTTTCCAATTTTAGGGTGGCTTGATCTCATCGTTGCCGCATGCTTTTATGTCAATAGTTGTGTTGGCTTCAGGTCAAATGGCCGACTATCTTCGTTCCACTGGTAAAATGTCAACTCAAACTGTCCGCAAATTATTCAACACGTTGGGTCAGTTTTTGATTTTAAAATCTACACCCAACAATTTTAAACATTAGAGTTTATTCGAGCATTTCCTAGATATAAAGAAGTGAAAATTTTAATTTGAATTACGACTTTACCCGAAAAATTTTATCATGAATTGTCGTGCATGGAAACTCGTCGACACCTTAGAAAAAAGTCATTACAGATGATCACCCGGTATATCTCGCAAGGTGCCATTGGCAGAATACACTGCATCACTGCGGGCATAATTTTTTTTAAAAAGGCTTCATTTACAGGTTTCGGTGGTGAAGCGCTATTCCTCTGCTGCTTATCTCTTATTAATGAACCATCTGCTGCAGTTACCACATTAATATTTGCTGCAGGATGCAGTGGCTTTGGTATCGCAGGTACCAAAGAAAAATTGAGATTTCTATATGGGAACAGCAACACCATTAGAGTTTAAATTTGGCTGCTTCTTCCTATTATTAAATTTTAAAACATTCCTAATTACAGGGTTCAACGTAAATCACTTTGACATAGCACCACGGTACGCTCCCATTCTGATGGGTTTCTCAAATGGTATTAGCGCTCTGGCCGGTGCTAGTGGTTTCATTCTGGAACACCTCGTCGCTGCGCAGGTATTTTCCGCACATGATCATTTTACGAAAATAGTAAAATTATCCTAGTCTGCAACATGTCTGTCAATGTTATCTTAATTGAAATACGATTATATCCTTAGCTCGACGTAAAAACCAACTCCGATTTTACGATCTGACTTGACTTGTCCTTTGAAATAGGTACGTCGCATGAATCAATTCCACATCATCAGTAAGAGGACAGCAAAAAGTGACTAAATTTCACAGTTCAGCTGTCTAGAAGAATGTGAGCACAGCATGTTATCAGTAGGATTAAGAATAATGAAACCGATTAATTCATTTTGTCAGATAGTTTGAATATTAAGCATAAACAAATTCTAAATTGTTTACAAAAAAGGACGCCTAACTTTCCAAGCATAAATCGCAAAAATTAATTAGGGTACCGAAGCAGGTTGGAGGATATCATTTCTGATAGCAGCTGTAATTGATCTCACTGCCATGATCACATTTCTCATATTCGCTAAAGGAGAACTTCAACAATGGGCCAAGGAAAAGGAGCCTCAGCAAAGCATGGAAGATATTGTTCGTCGACTATGTTAGTTTATTTGCAATTTAATCAAAAAGTCGTTTTCAGCAAAACCCACGTTTATAGCAAGAACTGCACAAAAATCTGCCCGTAGAAAATTTTTTCCTAAAACCTAAAACGCCGTGATAAATAACAAAAAATTTTTTTGAAATCTATAGCAGATTTGATTTGTGTATCCTATTAATTAGCCCTTTTAACTTGACAAGCCTATTTCAATCAGTTTTGAATTAAAATTTTAGCATATATCATGCGACGAGTGTCATCTCGTCGACGACCGGAATCAAGCGTAAAGCATGAACGACTGTGCGAAGAGGATGAAGCCAAATGTGACTGGTCTACAAGGACAACGATAGATAAGGGGATCCCGGGACTAAAGAAGGTGAAACTTCGAAGCTTTATGATATTAGTCGGAGGGAAATTTAACCTTAGTTCGAAATCACTAATATTCGCCTATTAAATAATTTAAATTTAATCAACACCAAGACCACCAAATCAAAAAAGAGACACTCATTGAGTTTTTCAAATATTAATTTACAAATATTCAGAAATCGCCACATTTCCATCGCATCGTCCTCTGTATTTTTAAGCGCTCAAAACAGCATCTCTAACCAATTTCAGCAAGATGCGATATAACTCTTTTCCACGTGAAGACAAACCAAAAATGTATAACAAATAACCATTTGGACGATCGAAACATAGCCTATTAATTGATCCGATGATCAATGAAGAAACAGTGTTTCGTGAAGAATATGCCTTACAGTTGTGCAACTTCTGCAAACATTAAAACCCTGTGATTTTATAAGGTTTATGCTGCTTACACAACAACTTCAACAAAAACAGCAATGGAAAATTTTTCCCCAACAACGAAAAAACTTTTTTTCCGCAAATTCAATAGGAATTTTCAGGAATGGTTGGAATTTAAAAAAAAAAAAAAACAAAAACGAGATCAAACATACAAACAATATTAAAAATTGGTATAACTGAAAACATCCTGCTGTTTTGCCAATTCTAAAAGCATAGGATCATCAAAGAATTTGTTTACTGAAACATCCTCGCTGAGACCTTTTCGACGCCTGGTTTTTATCATGAACTCACGAGCCAGATGGGGTGCAGGTTGGAGTTCTAGAGGCCTTATCACGATACTTTTATCTAACGGATCTCCTGGTACTATCTGCAAAATCACGAAAAATTGGAACCTTCAGTAAGTCCTAGATAATACTTCTGAAATCTGAAAAAAGAAGTTATCCTGATAGTCACTACCTTAACTAAGAAGCGCAAAACGAATAAATAGGCGAAGCTTCTAAATAGTAAATCCATAGCTACAACTCCCAGCAAATAAAATAAAACAAACTGGATTCGTACCTGCCAATGACTGAAAACAGCTAAACAAAATGCCTGTCCTTGAGTATGAGTTCTCAAATCAGTTTCGAAACCAAATGAATCGATGACAGGTATGTAAGCTTTGATTGTATAAAGCGGTGATCCAGGAATAGGTGCATCAGTAGTCACGTGACCACGTCGTTTTGCTAATACTGTATACACCGAACTAACACAGTCTGCCGGTGCTGTTACTTCCACAAAATAATATGGTTCCATTAAACGAGGAGTAGCCATCTTAATAAAATTTTTGATGAGACCAATCCAATCGTTTACTCAAATGCTTATAAACTACTTCACCATACTCTGACACATAAATAACTCGTAAACCGTTATTTTAAATAACTTCGATCTTTCTTAAATCAGATTTATCCAGAGATAAAACACTAAACTCAAAAGTCTTTGTTTTTTATATTATGCAAAGGGTGTTCGATTCGGAATAAGCAAAAGTACAGACGTGACATGAAGCGCAAAATCAATACCAGGAAAGCGGAGTATGCGCATCGACGAGCTGTTGGAATAATCTGACCACCACCACGGTATAACGGCTCACTTGCAATCACTGCATCCAACATTTTGAATTTAACATTACGTATAGCTGAAATCTGACAAAACCGCATGTTTCCATCATTTTAAACAACATTTTTGACGAAAATTTATCAAAATTTCATGAAAAAGAAAAAAAACAAACTAACGCTCTTCGCAAAGTGGCCCCTCACGTGTAGCCCACTGAAAACCTTGTACAAGTGATTCACGAACTGTTCCCAATAATTGTTTATCAACTTCAGATGGTAGAGTATCATCAAGAAGTACGTTTGGTCCAGTTGCATCTGGACCAAACGCCCAAATGCTTCGAGCTGCTAGCAAATCCCAATCATACTTTGTCTGGAAAAATTCACCGAGACGTTTTCTATTCCATCCAATTTGGACTACTTCGTTTTCGATGTCTTCCGCAAGACCTTTTTCCAGTGGTTCGGCTATCATCGTTAATTTATTTCTGCAAAAATGGAAAACTTTTGAAATTTCAAACTTTTTTTGCAATATGAAAATCAAAACCATAATGGTAGGAATAACTTACAAAAGTTTATAATTTGTACGAACTTTTTATTAGGTGTTTCGGCGAAGCATTTCAAGGACGATGTTTCAACAACGGTTTCACAGAAAGAAACAACAGGATCAGCTACTTTGATATCGATTTCCGAAAATACCTAAATTTGACTAAATTTACGACCACAAATAGTAACATGTACAATAAAGGAATATTATGCACTACTTTGAACATGCTTAGTAGAGTAACTAATAAAACCAATTTGCAAGAAAGTTTTTCAAAATGATTTTGATCAAAAATTCGAAAATCCCTGTTTTTGATAAAAAAAAGACTGGTAATATGAACCTTCCGCATATCATGCATCACGCAGTCCATATAAAGTTCTCCAGTACCGAGCATAACGTGTTCTCCAGACTCTTCAACGCGAGTTGTCAGTAGTGGATATGATTTGTTGACCTGAAAAAATTTTAAACTTAAATATGGTGGGTGTGCTCAACAAAACTGGCATATTCCACAACATAGAAGGGAGACGTTTCAAAACAATCTTAATAATGAAAGAGAAAAACATTGTAAAAAACTCATTATTGAAAAACATACTTTACGCAAACCATCGAGCATTTTCGGAAGCTCCGAAGGATTAATTGGTTCCACCGCGAGCTTGACAACCGACTTTGTGTTAAATTTCAAAGGACGGAATATGTAAACCTTTAAAAAATTTAAAGATCAATCTAAAACTAATTTATGTAGACATTTAAGTAACTGTTTCCAAAATCCGCAGAAATGTTTCAGAATTTTAGCTTACATCTTCGTCATATTCAACTTGCATTATGGTCGATGTTTTCACGACTGGCTGATCAATCCCTTCAATCAGTACCCAGTTTCCGGCTGGAACACGAGACACTTCCATTGAATACCTGCAAGAGGAAAAGTGCACAAAAAGTAAATTAAAATGGCCCAAAATTTCACTGAAGAATCAAAACACCATAAAATCAACAAAATGAGGAGAAACCTTGCAACGCTAATCCACAGGCGACCCACAGTCATAATCCTACAATCCTCTTCATCTTGAATGCTATAATTCTCACCAAGAATTCGAACCTGCAAAACATGGTGGCATTCATATTCCTCATATTCTTCCAACAGTGAAACTCCGGCTCTTACGATCAATATTTATTATATTCAAAATTAATTTTGATGAAAAATTAGAAGTTTAATTGAAAAATAGAAGCAAAGCATACGTCTTGTCCAGCATGTAATGTTCCACTAATAACTCGACCAAAAACATGAAATGATGTAGCATCAGTTGTTGCGTAGTTCTTTGTTGTATGAACCATGAGAGGGCCCTAAAGCAATTTTATCTCCTATTGAATTCTCAGCTATTTTTTTGCAAAACTGAATGTCCATTCGACCTCTTTAATCGAAAAAGTTCGCTTTAATTAGTTCTTACATCCGCATCACATTTCATGAGTGCCTGTGCCAACTTGCTGTCCATCGGTCCCAAATAAGTATGCTCCACTTTCGTGCCTGCGTTATCTGACGGTGATTTGATATTTTGTGTAACGAGATCGACAAAGGCTGAAATGCTTCGTGATTAATATTTCTAATAACCATTACCGCTCATTTAGCACCTAATTCAAAAATTTTTAAGAAAATCCAAACTATCCCAAGTTTATTTTTATGAAGTAAAGTCAATAAGTGCATGATATTGTGCAAATATATACAGTTAAAGTCGCCAAAAAAACGACGACAAATCAGGGCGATTAGTGGTCGTACATTCATTCGCTGCTCTTCCTTGGTCAATTTAATGTTCAGTTCAGCCATTATTGATGGCAAGCATGTATCCACATCGCCAACAACCTTAACAAAGTTTTGTAGAATTTGGTCATACATGGCTGCATATAGAAAGAAATCAATCAGAGAGATGATAACAAGAATAGTGCTAACCTGAGAAAATATTTTATAAAGCGGTTCGAGAACAAATTCTACAAAAGATCGTGAAGCCCCTTGATGAGGCGGTTTTTTCATAAACTTCCGAGTCTTTTTGTCGAAATATTGATCGCCCCATAAATGTTTTGCAAATTCTTCTCCAATAAATGTCCCTGTAAAATTAAGAAGTAGAAGACGGGGAAAAGAATCAGAAATTTAAAGAGAAAAATGAAAATAGAATATCTGAAATTCCTGTAAGGAAGCATACCATAGCTACTGGCGTAGAGTTCAGCGAAACTTCGCAACGAAAAGCATATGTTGTACCTAGAACTAGCGAAAACCACATTGCTGAGTAAAGGTGATACTTTCATCGCTTCATTTTCGTCGCTGAACGTTCTGGAAACCAAATTTCAAAAAAAAAAGAAAAAAAAGTTGGGAAGAAAAAAAACTTACAGATACTCATAGAACTTCGAAGGGCTAAATAATGGGCTAGCTTTCCAGCGAAACCTAACAACTATCTATGTCAATTTGCCACAATGCCTATATTATGTTGAACAAGAAAAGATAGACAATCAATATTATGCGAAATACAATTTGGCCAGAAACTACCAGTAATAGTAAATTGTATGGTGCATTTTAAGAGTAAGAGAAAGGGACATAAGCAATAACAGTAAAATGAGCGGTAACTATAAAATGATGAATTATGAAGCAAAAATGTCCTCGTATGCAAAGACAAACGAGTGATATAAAAGAAAAGGATTTCAAATTATATATAAGCTTACTGAAGCAAACTGTTAATCTGATCTAGAACAAAGCGAAGTTTATAATAAGCATCTGTGGGGGGTAATTTCAGCTCTAATATCAACCGATCAATTTTGTTTATGCAAACAGTAACCGGTAAGCGTTCTTGCACAGCGTGCCGAATCACTCTTTCAGTTTGCAACATGACCTAAAAATTTACACAGTTTAAGATGGAAGAAATCAAAAATTACTCTTGCTCTGATAAAGATGATGAAACTTAAATACCCTACTTGTTTTGACAAAAATGGTGGAACTCACTCCTTCATGTGCATCCACGACAATTACCGCGCCATCACTTAAGCGGTATGCTGCCGTCACTTCATCAGAGAAATTGACATGTCCTGAAAATCAGACCTCATTTATACATCAGAAAAAAAGAAGTCTTTTATTTCGCAACGAGAAACAGCCCTTAATCATTAGAAAGATGCAAATTACCCGGTGTATCGATTATATTCAACAAGAAGCTTTTTTGACGTGAATCCTGCATGACAACAGTAATTGGTGTAGCTTTAATACTGCATCCGCGTTGCTGCTCAATGAATAAAGTATCAGTATAACGAGTGTCTGAATCTTCACCACGGACAAAGTCTGGATGTGTTTGTTCCATTAAACAGTCGATGAAAGTAGTCTAAAAAGAAAAGGATAATGATATACTTACCTTTATCTTCATACTATCTGGGCAAATTCAATTTGATTCCCTTTGATAGGAAAAGTTTTTCCACTCTTTTCGACACCAGCAATAATCGTTTTGAATCTTCACACAGACAAATTCTGGATGTATTTGTTCCATCAAATATCAATGAAATGAAAAGTGAAAATTTTGAAGCCTACTTTTCCATGATGAAGGTGGCCAACGATTGCAATGTTCCGCATAACATGCGGACAGTCCATCAGATCAGCGAGATACTCCTTATTGTATGCTGTTTCTGGTAAGGCATGTTCAAGTGCCTGATAAATGATAATAATCCATAAACAAATAAATGCAACAAATAAAACCCTCCTAGATTAAGCAAATCGTTCAACAAGAAAGCCTAACTAACTGACTTGAAATTTCCGTTGTTTTACAGACTTTATGATTGGCTCCGTTAAGGGTTGAGCATCTTCTTCTTGGACGATTGTTTCAACGTCCTCGCCATAAATCTGAAATATCTTTCTGACTGAAAATTCAAAAATAAAAACCAAACAGAATTCTTATTTAAATCACATCAGTTAACTGTCAGAAAGAAGAGGTGCCTGATTTTGAGATTAAATTATTTCTAAGCAATTGAAATTTAAGTGATTTACACAACATTCAGCTTACAGCCAATGCGGTATGAAACATACTTCCATCGCTGTCGCATAATATTTCTTATCTTCATGCAATACAATTTGATTAGACGGTATTTGATCCGCATCTTCATTCACTGCCTCATCATCCTGGAGAATTGATTCCCGAATTTGGACTTGGATTAAAAGCAATTATTTTTTAACCTAACTTTTATTAAACAAACCAAGCAAATAATTACCGGTGATATTTGAGAGAAAAGAAAAGTGCCGAAAGTACTGCTGAAGAGTGGGAACAGTTCCTCTAGCTTTTTTTCTTTCGATAGGAGAAACAACAGAAATATTATATGCAATAAAAATTTGAAAGGAGAAGAAAGATACCTCCTCTTCCTCCTTTCCATCGTCATCCAATTTCTGAACACTTGAAGTAAGAGTATCCTCTTCTTCCTCATCATCCGAATCCAATTCAGGTCCTATATAATTACCAAATTCGTCATATAAGTCTGTATCCATTGCTTCAACTGTCCTGAAAACCGCTCTACCTAACTCTGTCTTCTCATCAAACTAAGTCAATCAAATTCAAGGCATTAAATAAATTCCAGTGGTTTTGACCGGTTCAAAACTTGTCCCAAGCAAAGAACAAACCACCCACCAAACTGCAAAGTAACAACCAGAGTAACGGCGGAATCAATTTTAGCAATTTACTCACCAACATCTAGTTTGCCGCAATAAGGACAGCTGTATATCGAAAAGATACACTGATAATGGGGAGGGTTGAGAGATGAACGAGGAATTGAGAAAGTTCAAAAGAGCTGGGAAATGAAGGAAATTTATAGGATGTTTAGAGAGAATGCCAGGATTAACGGAAAAGTGTTGTTAAGTGAATAAGAAGTATAAAGTGTGTGTATGTGTATGTGTATGTGTATATGTGTATGTGTATATGTGTATGTATGCATGTGTGTGTGTGTGTATGTGTGTGTAATTGAAGGAAAAACAGAGTGATAAGATTTTATGTGCAGAGATACTAGAGGTTGAATTAGTTCTATAGAAAATGCGGTGGCAGCACTTGAGAGTGCATGCAGGGGATGATGAGAAAGCAATATGAGAGAGTGAAGGGAAAAGAGATGACCGGGATGAATGCGAATACTTCCGGATCGGTCTGTAAGGAGGCCTCACAATTCCCCTAAGGGAACTAACTTGTCTAAAGGTACTTTAATACGTAAGTCCCATGAAGTTTCTTCGAATGTCGCATCTTCTTCTAGTTGTTTACGGTTTTTTTTCTCCATTTTCTTTGTTCACATATCCATGTGCTAGGTATATGATGACATCCGGTCAAATGCATATATATCCATGTGCTAGGTATATGATGACATCCGGTCAAATGCATATATATCCATGTGCTAGGTATATGATGACATCCGGTCAAATGCC